TTTAAATGTACACATTACACGTTATCGCATAAAAAATTGCTTCATCCTTACGATGGGAAAAATTAAATTGAAAAAGCCGTTTGGACGTGAGAGCACTTAAACGTGGGTCAAATTGGCCAATAACGGGGTAAGAAAACAGTGCAATGTGTTGTGGTACTTAAAATAAACGTCGCAAACGAATTTTCAGCTTAAAATAACGCACGTGATCCAAGAGAGGCGGTATCGTGGTTGGTTCACTGATTCTAAAACTGTTTTGGCGCGAAGCCGAACACTGTCGGCAGCCCTCCAAAAATACCGCCGGCTAACAGCTGTCATATAGGTAACAGCTGATCTTCACCAATCCTGCCAGTCATGCCAACTGAAGTAAATGGAAAATTTGAGAGAAAAAATAATTGGAAGGAACTGTTACATTGTTGTACATTATTTTACGAATCAAATTTTAATAACTATACTAGTCAGCTAAATCGGACAAAACTACGAATGTAATTCACTGAATTCATACTAATTTAATAATGCCTCTGTATTGATTTAAAAAAAATGTAGCCTAGCTGTACATATTTTGTGGAATTTGCCACATCTAATAAGTTTTAAATACTCATACGCTTACTCTGCTATTTCTTTTTTTACTAGGAATTATTAATTATTAGGTACAGTCTCTTATGTAAGTTATCATGCAAACATTTAGCTTTGAGAACAATGTACACGTTACAATAAATAGCTTACAAAGATGATTAACTGAACATTATTAGGTCTTACATTGCGGTCAGTGATAGTTGCCACAAAAAAGTAACAACGACAACTTAACAGAATCTATTAACAAAATACAGGGTTATTCAAAAATATGAACCCAACATCATGACTTTGTATCTCAAAAAGTATAAAACGGACAGACATAAACTGTACCGGTACACCATTAAAAAATTAATTTTCAAAGTTTTTTTGCCTTAATTCCGTAAACGGCCGAAAAGGTTATCGCAACAATGGGCAGCCGTTTTGTTTTACCATAAGTATTTAGTTAGATGGCTATCATGCAACATAAAATTTTCTTTGTGACCTAGTTTGCAAATACTGAGTCTCCTATTACAGTGCGGCGGGGTTTTCTCATCGAATTTGGTATTCCAGAAAAAAGCACAACTTGTTGGCTCAGGCAATTTCAAGAAATTTGTGACACAAGAGATGCTGTCTCATGTGTTGGACTTGATCGGTTATCGCTTATATGTTTGCCGTGCACAGACGGACAAATTAATTGAGCATTTGTAATGATTGTAAATAAAACTTGGAAATTTTTTTTTTTCTAATGGTGTAAAACATATTAGTCTCAGATTTTTACTTTTCGAGATACAAAGTCCCGGAACTGGGTCCATATTTTTGAATAGCCCTGTATAACACCAATATAAATCAACATTCAAGAAAGAGTACGTGATTAAATCTTTAGTATAAAATCATTGTACCGTGTTTAGAAGAAGCAACTAGTTCTTCCTTTTTGAACTGACGATCTTTTTAATAACAATTAGTGTTTGAAGTTTTCACTCTACTAGATTTAATGTTTTGCCTGGAGTTTATATACACTTATAAAAACTAGTACACTGCAGCTATAGGAAAATCTTAGAAAATTTACACACTAATAACTGTAAATAAAATGTATCGATAAGGATACAGTAAGAATTATCGATTCATAAACATATTTGCAGACCCAGTATCGCGATTACCACCTTATTAATGCATACTTCATCGTGTACTCATTAATTTGCTAACCATATACAAATGAGGGAATTTCTCTTAATTTTTTTTTTTTTCAAAAAACTAACACATAAATATTAATAATGATAAAACATAAACGGAATTACCCGTAACGCGAGACATCAAATCCTAATTTGAGGTAAGTAATTACTGATGTAGCAATATCAAGAGATAATGCCTACAGATAATTACGTTATCACGGTTATGGTTAATCATGCGGTGAGGTGATAGTAGTGCTGTATCACCCGGATATATTATGGATTAGGTGATAAAGTTTAATATACTTAATATTCGGTTTACTAACCACCCGTAACCATTACGATTGTGTCGTTCACTCTATGTTATTACGACTAACAAACCAATTACAACGAAAAAAATTATAACAATCACCTTTTAATAATGATTTTTTTTTTCGTTAAGTTAAAAAAACATACATACGATTATTCTCAACGTTCCATGGGAAAGTCATTTATTTGTTATTTTATGGAATAGGTAAAATACTTAATAAAAATATTATGAAATCTAAAATAGCAAACCTATACTTACTTAACAAATCTGCATTTGTGTAGAGTGAAAACAGTATAGTTTCGCCTATTGGGTCTGATGATGATTGGAGTGTCCAGTCGATATCGATCACCACTTACCATCTTTTATGTATTTACCGTCTTTTGAGTAAACAGTATAAGTGTAAATATATTGTTTTAAGTGTTATTTTATGTATTTTTTGTTCTTACAAACAATATAGTGCCATGAGACGAGTAATATTGTATGTAACTACACAAGGCTGTGAGCAACGTCCCTATAGTTTTTTTTTTATTTTTTTCCTTTTTTTACCTGTTTGGATTATAAAAAATGTATCTTTGCTAAATGAAGTAAATAAATAAGTTTTTTTATCTATCCGTTACGTTTGATAATGCTGTAAAATACATAGTCCAACACATTGTCCATAAGCATGAGGTGTTTACTAGAGGATTCCAAAATACAAAATTAATATAACTAGGGGAAATGCTCATCTTCTATAGTAGCATTCTTCAAACGATATTACTCAAAATAATATGAATATGAATATTGCAATATAATAACCAAACAGATTACAACAAGAACTTTTCTACTGAATAAAATAATACTGATGGTCATGATTCAAACAAGTTGTTTTTGGTAAAAATAAAATTGTAACCATTTTAAAGCTGTAAAATATTAAACTTAACAAAATATAGTGGAGGGTCATTTTTTAATACCAGATCGAGGGTAAAAAATTCAGGAAAATATTAAACATTTAAAGTTTTTTTTTACTACTATATTAATTTGTAAACTACACTACAAAACTCTATTTAAAGCTAGTTAACGATAGTTAAATAACTTCCTCAAGGTCAAGACCGACTTAATTATAGGCTACTTCAACAATAAAACGAAATTTCCCTAACGGGGTAAAGCAAGACAGTCCGAGGGGAAATTTCCCTGCCGTACACACGTCACTCCTGACGTCATCGTTGCCAGCCAATAGCGTCCGAGGACGGCCGCAGCTGCTAAACTATTTGCGGGCCTTTGTTTAATCTATTCGGGGATCTTTGTTTCGCGGGTTGTTTACCTGTTGGTCTCGAACGCAGACGTAACTAACGCCGCTAAATAGCTTAGTTTATACTTCCGGCAAACAAACCGACAAAACAAATAGCACTGAAAGTGTTTTAGTGATTTGTTTGCTTAGAAAACTCAAGGTTGGCTTCCACCACGGGACAGTAATGGAGAAAATTACTGAGTAATTAGTTGAAATGGATTTCCGACTTGGCAAATAAACAACCTTGTTAAATATGACATGTTTGTCTTACGTAAAACGTCATACGAATCATGGAGGGAATTGGTCTTGAACAAATATGACTTTCTCAAAGTTTATTCTGAGATGAAGGATTGGCAAGTTTGGGAGAAAGGGCGGAAGGGAAAGATAAGTGATCTTTCTTGAGAACTTTTCCAAAGAAATTACATGACTTTTGCAACGATTTTTCCTTTTATCTGTTTTAGAAAAACTGTTTATTTATTTTATCCAAAGAAATGTAAGATTTTTTCCAATATATCTTATGAGTATGATGTTGGTGATTGTTAAAATGTCAGCTAATTCTGTCTCTAGGCTATCGTTGAAAGGTGTGTGCTTACACCTATGTACTTTTCAGACTGAGTCAGATCCTCGCGATCCTGAGTCAGAGACCTTGAATCGCGGGTAAAATTAAACATTATTTGACCCATAAACCAGATCTTGACTTTGCATCCAAGCCAAGAGCTATATTTTATATATTTCAGCAAGAAAAAATATTATTTTTTTTTATTTATTAAATTTATATTTCAAGGAGGATTTATTTTACGGGACACTCTGTAAGGGATAATTTCTATTTTTTATATTCCATCACCTAAACCTATTTAACTATTTATCTATCTATCTATTTATCTATTTACCTAACTTTGCCTGACTAAATAAATCATTTTTCATTTCATTTCATTTATTTAAGTGGCCTTAAGTTTTAGAATATAAAGGTACACACGTCTATAACTTGTTTTTATAATGAGGAAAATGTAGGTTACTTCGGTTTAATACAGTTAATTATATTTTCCCTCCGTATTAATGTACTTGTTATCGTAATATATTGGGGTAAACTGGCCAATTTTCAATTAAACCACACATCGTTTTTTTTACTATTTTAAGTTATATTTTTCTAAAAAAAACCATTGGCAATTAACATCGTATACTTCCAGATCATTGTTTACACACTCAGAACTCTTGCAAAAAATTCTTCTCAAGCGTTATCAAATTTCTCATTAAATACAGTCAAATATAATTTAAATTTTCTTCATGCAAATACAACTGAATGTTAATCCAATGTTTTAGGAATCATAATCACAAATACAAAATGTAAAAATTTTTATTTTGAAAAGTTTGACATTATTCCCCTATCAAAGATTTTATAAATTCAATGTGCGGGTACTAAAAGGATCATTTTAGGCACATAACACAATCATTACCTCGATCTCATATCCACCTACTGACATTTAGGTTAGAGGTTTAAACGTGATCTTGCATCAAAACGGAACCGCCTAAGTGCTGTAGAAGTGTATAAATACCTTCCCGACAGGCGGGCTGGCGCTAGATCAAAAGTGACAGAAGGGGGTAAACATGTTTCAACTCGTCATTGATGACGTAGATCTCTCTGAGGTGGTACCATCCTGTACGGTTCAGTGGGCAGTGAGATCTCACGAAAGCTGGTAGGGGGTGGGACATAGTCATTGTTGTGCGCCATTGTCGTGACGTCACTACCACGTCATTGGTGTGACCTAACTGGCAAACGTGTTGGTGCCTTCATTGTTGCGACGTCACTAGTGTACTCTGATTGTTGGGAGCTTATTGGCGACGCCACTAAGTGATGTTGCGACATTGTTAACACTAGCACGAGTGATCAGTGATCAGTGGTGGTTCAGTGAGTCAGTGGTCGACATGTCATCTGTATGTTCTTTACAAGTTGAGATCCAGACTGAGGCACTGATGACTCCCTCAAGACTACGGAGAATGTCTTGCATTCCAGCAGGTATTTGATGGAAACTAACTTCTAGGGGTGGCTTAAAAGTTAACGGTAGGTTTGGCCTGGTTCATAAAAACGGTAGATGAATTCTTTAAACCTGAGATTTTGTACGGTATTAGTAGTTTTATTGTATTTAAAACTATCGCAGTTATAATTAATCCGTGTGTAACACTTTTTAGCTCAATACAGGGGCATTTTGAAGTTGAGAAAATTTTACACCTTTTAAAAAAGGTGTTCTAAACACTTCATGATTTAGTGGATATGCCGAAAATTGAGCCTGTCACTCCCTCACCGAACTTTGAGACGTTAAACATTAAACTTGCAACTCACCTTACTTATTTAATATACCTTTAGTGTTAATTTATGCAACCCTTTGAAAATAATTCACTGCTTATAAAGTTGGCAAAATGACAACGAATTGTTTATAATGACTGAACTAAATTGCACACTACTATACTTGGGTAGTATCTCTACTTCGCAAATTGAAGAACAGCCTGACTGAATCCTATCTCTTGACCATCTACTACGGCCTTTTCCACAGCCATTTGAGTTACGGCATACTGCTCTGGTGCCACACCCCAAGCTGTAAGGCAGTGCTGAGGTTACAGAAGGTGGCCATGCGAGTCATCACTTCTAGTGACCGGCGTGAGCACAGCAAACCCATCTTCAGGAGATTAGGCGTGCCTACAGTCCACTCGATGTATATCTTATCCTCATTGGTACATGTCAAGAAGAACTTGAACGAGCTTACAACCAGAGGCGATGTCCACTACCACGCTACACGTGGCTCTACCAAGTTAGATATACCGAGAACACGCCTAACAAGCACACAACGCCGTTTTTCTGCCATGGCATTGAAGCTGTTTAACAAGCTGCCGGAGAACTTGAGAAACCTTGAGACCAAGAATTTTGAGAGAAAAATGAAAGACCAACTTACTCAGTCGGCCTATTTCTCCATCAAGGATTTCCTTGAGGATGATCTAGCGAGTAACTGACTCAAAATCTTACTTCACCCACCAAGTTTGTGAGTTGACATATTTGTATATAATATTATTTTTTTGAAATATGACAAGAACATTTGATTTTGCTATTTGATATAAAATTAAGAAAACTGACGCAGTTAATCCAGTAAACCTGGTTAAAAACGAAGAGATGGTATTAAGGTATTAAGGTACTAACCTGAAGCATTGGTTGAAATTACCCTTAGTTAGAAGTGGTCTAGTTGTTCAACCGCTCACTCAACAAGTAAATTGTTTTTTGTAGTCGTTTTACTTATTACAATTCCAAAACTAATTTTGAGAATTTGTTGAAAAATGTGAACTTTAAGGAAATTCAATAGAAATTGAGGTGCGTAAATATGAAACTGAGGTACAATTTTGTGGACATGTATACATCAATTATCATATTTTGTATTCATTAAATATCACAACTTCCTAAATTATTTTTATGCTAAAAAAAACGGAAAACATTTGTATCTGTATAACTGTGTCATATTTTATCAGCATTACACAAGGGTATTTTCCAAAAATCCATCGTCAATCGCGTCTCCTCTGGTAGTGGAGTCCTAAAATCAACAATATCGCCACAAAATATGAATAAACATTCATCAATACAGTCTAAGTTATAGAACACATACGGTCACTTTGACCGACAGTAGGGTGACGGTACAGAACCTTACCTTACCTTACCTCCTTGGCCACTCAAACCTAAGAAGGTTTTTGGCCTCGCCAACAAGTTGCCTCCACTGCTGCCGATCTGCCGCCATGTCAAGAGATGCCCCCACTCTGCGTAGGTCCTTCTGGACTTGGTCTCTCCATCTCAACTTCGGTCTTCCTAGCGGGCGAGTGCCTCGTGGTTGTCCATTGGTGATCTTCTTAAGCATACTTTCTTCTTCCCTTCTTTCTACATGGCCTGCATTTCTGATTACATTTCTGACGGTACAGAACACACCCGGTAAATCTGAGCAACAAACGAAACAAAAAACGTACACCCTAGGCGCTCCTCTGGGTAAAACTTGTCAATATTCTACCAGAGGGTCAGGGAGGGGTAGGGAGGAAGGTGTTGTGAGTGATAAGCACAAAAACAATCAGTGTTGCCAATATCAAAGCTTAAAAATTCCCATCGGTCAGATTGTCCGATGTGTACTTAGTGTTAACCTATAATACATACTATAGTAGCTGAACGAGCATATGTGCGACCTAATCCATTGTTTACTAAGCTGTAAATCCATACTACATTATAAACATGTGACGCAGGATCAAAACGTAATCTTCAATCAGTATTTTACTACTTTAACAGGCGGCGCTGCTGAATCAACAACCCGGTTGCATGGGGAAAGTTATTATATAAAATCTCGAAATTTAAAGACTCTCTGTCCATTTTATTGTTTTAAATAAGGTAAATGCATAGAACAGTTTTTTTTTTAGTTATTGTAAAATAAATTTTAAGAATAGTGTGTAAAATAAAACCCAACTTATTTTCGTTTATTAAAATGAGTAATTTTATGTATTAAACTATTTTGTTATTTACTATTATTTCATTCTTAGGATAAGGTTCCGTTTAGTTTTTTAGTGGTCAATATTTGGCTGGTTATTATAATCCTTTAATCTCTCACTCAAGTCATTGTACACGTATAGAAAGGTGTTCCCTTATGTTATTACCTGTTCTAACCCATGTAAAAATATGGAACGATTTAAGCCAACATCTCTAATAGGTTAAGGATATACAAAATAAATAAAATATTATTAGTTTAGTTACAATTTAATTTGATATACAGTAATATATTAGGATTTCACAGATGTACACATGCACATAACTGTTTGGAATAAAATCTAATACTATTTATTCGTCAGTTTTAGTTATTTTTAAGCTTAAATATATATTTTCCTACAGTTACCTAACACATGTTCTCTCACTGATTTGAGAAAGCAAAGTGGCCAATTCGCTCATCAGTGAGACAATGTTAACATTGTCAACAACAATGTTAACATTGTCTCACTCTAATTACTTTGTCTCACTCCAGATTTGCAACGTGAAGGCACACAATAGTGAGCGCATAACATGCAGACAAGGTCGTATGCGCGCGAAATACGTTGGCAGCACTGGCTGTAAATCAGCTGTTCAGCTGTTGTACTGTTGTATCATTAAATGTCATATTAAAGGTTAACTTCTGTGTAAAAATATGTTACGTTTCTTTACCAATTTATATGTTTTATGGTAACTGTAGGAAAAATATAATGTGCAACTCGAGTGCAAAGTGCAATTGCTCACTAGTTGCACAAATAACTATTTTAAACACCCCACTTTGCTGCAGCCGAACTAATTTCTATTTACCTTGTTGGGTTTTCACTAATACATTCCATTAAAATTGCCATATTGATTTCTTAAGTATTATAATTGATTTTCAACTATAAATCACGGGTCTTACCATCAAACGTTCCTGTTGTAGCATATTTCCTAATTGGGAACTTCGCTAATACTACTAAAATTAAGTATTGAATTCTTTATTCTTTTTTATCTTCGTATTACTAAGTAAAACCATGATGTTACGTAATTTGTATTATACTATAGTAATTGTATTATATTATAATTTGTATGTGAATGCACAGCTTTCATTAAATACGTTCAGTGTTAGTGTTTCGTCGTTTTTTACACGGTCGTTACCAGAAAACCACGATTCTACATTGTCAACCAATTAGTCATGGCACTACATATACATTGCGTGTAGAATTTGTGTCATACAACAAACGTATGGAATCATCTAGGCAAGACAAACTGGTATGCGTAGGTTAACCTTTGACCAAAATACCGTGCAAATCCTTCCTTCTCTCTTTTGTCACCATATAGTTTGCAGCTGCAAGACGACTGTAAACTTTTATTGTTCCCTCTGAAGTGTTTTATCGCCCAAGAGAATTCTGAGTCGTCTAACTCCGTAAACGTGATTTTAACGACTGGCGACAACTGTAAGGCCTAAAATATCCTATGGTGCTTATTTTAGAAGCTAAATATGTAACAGGTTCTTTGCTGGTAGTAATAAAACGTGACCTTTAACGTTTAAGGCTGCAGGTTCTACACCAGTGGATTGTGCAGAATATGTCAATAAGTGTGGTATTACATCCTTTTTGTGTGGCAAAGCAACACGCTCAACGCATATTCAAACCACTAAAATATTTCAAACGTGAAAGAGAATATTTTACTGATTGTAATTTTCATCTCTCTCTGACCAACCTAAACTATATTTTTAAGTATGGTTGAAAAAGAAGGGTTCAGGATAGTGTGTTAAAATACATCAACAATTGTAACAAACACTTACTCACACATATTAGTACAATGTTTATTTGTTATATTTTTTGCTTCATGTAATATAGCTGTATATAACTGACGGCTTTGGCACAGTTATAACTTAACCAAGATTAAGATAACAATTTTGGCCCCTCTCATTAAACAACTTAGGCCTACCTAAGTTTGATGTAAAAGCTGTTCCCCCCCTTGCCAGGAAAGGTTTTGCATTATCCAGGATATGTGGCTCCATACAAAGCAGCTGTCGATTATTTCAAGGAGTTCTCATGTATGCTATCAAATCATGTTGTGCCTGGCGATCTTTTGTGTATTTATATGCTATTGGCATGCTTTAAAATTTCCTTGCATAAGGAACGGTCCAAACTCTGCTATACTCTCTACCTACCATTGGCACTACCTATTGGCATCTCTTTGTCAAATACCATTATTAATTGATGTGTCAAATTGGATCCAGATTTAATAGTGAGTAGTACCTATAACCACTCGGCTACACATTGAATCTCTCTAATATCACCTAATAGCCGAAACCTGACTGTGATTGTTTACCAAAGTTGAAGCTAGACCCAGACTCGTGCCAAACTTAAGCCAACCTTGTGCCAAGCTTGTGCCACGGCGGCATCTATAGCTGCCAATCAAAGGCTATTTGAGATTGTGATGAAACCCGACGATCATATGCTTTGGTTCTGCGCATTGCTTTTTTATTTTATACATTAAGCTGTTTGTCTAATTATTCAAATTTGTCTAGGATTCACAAGCTAATTGCAAGCATTGATAATCATAAGGAAATTATTAAAATATATCGTAGATCAAATCGGTCCATCTAATATTGTAAAGATATTTATAGAATTACATCGGTTTCTAATACAGTATTATCGAGTAAAAATTAAATAGGATTGCAATAAAGAGTGCATAGATTTACTTTAGAATGATTCGTACGTTTTCTCCATTGTAAAAGGAAATGGGCCGTTTTTAGAGTGGTAAAAAGTGTATTAAATCCTTTTAAAATTAGACCTAAAAAATAATTAATGGTTTTTGAACTTTTTATTTGGAAGAGTTTTTCAATTTGATAATCAATAGAGCTAAAATTAAAATGTTGAGTTTTTCCGAAGGGTATATTTAGGAATTTGGTGACTGTAACCAGAAGTCATTGGGTATCCAATGTAAAGCAGGATAACTCACATAACATGCAGGATTTGAAGTTGTATAGGCATTTTTCCTTTCTTAAATAGTCTAAATTTTATCAAACTAAACGCAATTGAATTGAGTTAAATCAGAAGCTTTGATACAAATATGTTTATATCAATTAAACGAAAAAAATATAGAATTATTGCATATACTATAAAAAATGTGGTTACTGAAAGCTTTTTTTCGAAGAAATCTATTTAAAAAAATACTTCTCCATGTAGGAACAGGAAAACTGTATTTGGAGCCATAAAACTCAGCGCAACGAATGTCACTATAAAATTAGGGATCTAGATCTCGCAAAAATGTTTGCGTCAAATGTGAAGTAATAAAACTGATACGTGGACACACAGACACGATATCTCTAATTTTCTCACCAACACCCCTGTAGGCATACGCTCACACACGAACACACACATTCTCCAATACAGTCCTATCGGTCTTAATAACGAAGTTTATCGTTGGCCCTTTTTATCCCCAGATACATGGACCAGCATAAACTTTGAACGATGTTTGCCTACTTTGGTATTTCGTTTATCATTATTCTCAACTTTTCGTTTGTACAACTACCACATTTCAGATAAGTCAGTTAAAAACGTGACATTATTTTTACTCGAATTTTTTTTTTGACAAATATTACTAACTTGCAGGAATAGTCTGGTATCAAAAGAAAAATCATGTTTTTTATGTAAAGAAATCTTCATCATACGACGTTTTTAAGTTTTCATAATCACAATTCCTCCAATAAAAAACTATATTTGAAGAAGATTCTGTGCAAGAAATTGTAAAAACAACTATTGTGTCGTTGTTCAGAGTGAAATTTGATAATTTAAATAACTAATTTGCCATCGTTGGTATGAATATGTCAGCTACATAACATTAACCAGGAACACCATTGTGAAGTTTAATGCTTACATATTACATAATGCCAAATGCACTATTGTTTGTGATGGTATCATACTCGTATCCATTTAAATTTCAAAGTATAATATAATATTTGTTGTGTTTATATTGTCTTCGATGTAAAATGTTTACCAAATTTGGAGCACGTTGTTAAATGTTTCACAGTTAGATAATCAAATTTCTGTTTGCCATCAGTCATTTTGAGAGCTAAAACATCTATTTAAAAACTCATGGATTAAATTTAAAAACATTACATCATTCCATGAAAATAATAACGTCCCTTCTATTCTTAGATTTGGTTTGGTGTGCTTTACAAATGTCAATCCGAACATTTTTCTCAGTTTAAAATCTGTTCTATAACGCTCAATGTTTAATGAAATGTTTTTCGATGGCTCTATATCCATAGTTTATGCTAATAAAATGCAAATACATGTTACAAAAATGGAAATCGAATTACAATAGCTATGTAGGAGAGCGATTCCATTAAAGGAAACAAAACACATATCCAGACATTTTTATTCTGATTTGGTAAAAACATTGGTATCTCCTTGTCAATTTTGATATAAGTCTAATGTATTTGATAGCCTCTGGGTTCATATAAAGTTTGAAAGTCTTAAGGTTGAAACTCTTTTGGACAAAATGATTAGGTTGGAATTTTCTTCCCTTGCAAATCTATGACTATCATTCGACTACGACTACTCCCTGATTACCCCATGATGTTGATTAACTGTAAACATTCCGTTTTAATTATTTTTTTTAACCATTGATTTCCGAACAAGGCTTCTAAAATAATGGGATTTTGTAATTCAGTTAATATACAAATACGTATTTGATGGTAACCGACAATAGACAATAGACAATATATATTTATTCCTTTAAGCATACAGATAATGCAATAGGACAAGTCAAGAATTTTACATGGTAAAATACATAGAGTAGAGACACATAGCTTAAAAACAAGATAAGAGCAGCGACAGAGATTTAGATCAAATAAATGTTTACATCAGTATAAATAGGTCATGAAAGGAGGCGATCGTCCATGTAGTCTGCAACAGAGTAGTAGGATTGGTCTTTTAGAAATAGAGTTACAGTTTTCTTAAATCTATTGAGCGGCAAATCTCTAATAGCTATTGGGAGTTTATTATAAAGAGCGAGTTGATGGTAAACATGACAATGCGGGGTTTTTGCAAGCCTTACATATGGAGTACCAAGGTTATGTCTAAATCTAGTGAGGTGATCATGATGAGTATTTTGAGGAGCAAAAGAGTTGATATTTTGTTTGACATATACTAAGGTGTTTAAAATGTACACAAATGCCCATGTAAATATACACAAAATATACACAAACCGTGTCATGAATTTAATAGCTTTACAGGTGGTTTTCTCCATTAACAGTCAAAAAAGTCAAACAACGTAACCACTTGGATTGTTTAAGTAAAGTAGTGACAAAAAATTGTTCCTGCAAGAGTTTAATGTTCCGTGACTTTTGATTGAGTGCTGAACGACTTTTTGACGAGAGCGCTTGTCTCGAAATGTGTTAAATTGACAACTGAAAACTCGTCTCCCACCCTCAATTTATCACTTTGCGATGAACTGCTGTTTGTTAACTCCCAAGTCAAGTATTTTCATTGCCTTTTTATTCAACTACATTTTTAATATTATAAAACACTAAGAAATAACTTTATAAAATATACTTAAAAAGTAGTCAAATCTCAAACACGTGTTATGAAATCCTACTCCTAACTCATGCAAAACAAAAAAATACCAAAATTGTTTAACATTTTCCCTCACTGTTGTCCCATTTTTCTTAATGGTCTAACACGAGTAGGACATCACTAAATTCGTTTACATTTTACAATTCGGTAATTCCTTTTTTTCTTTGTTTGTATGTGCTTCAAAACAATATAATCTTTTGTAACGTTGTGCTGCAACTCGGTTACAAACTCCTTATCCTAATGATACTAATTTTAAGAAAAATAGTTTTTTGTGTATGCAGATTTTGCTACTGTTTGCAGGAATACAATTGTATTAAATAGAGTTAAATTCAAAACAAGCAGCTTTAGAACATCAAATCTTCTTAAGCATGCTAACTGTAAGATGAATACATAACACTAATCACCACACGAGCACAAAACCCACAAAAAATGCTGCATAAAGCACATAAAACTTCAGTTTTAATTAAAAATTCTTTTTATAACCTAACTAAAGGATGAACGCATAAAACCCATAAAACAAGATGGACACATAACTTTTCCGAGTAACAACCGTCATTGCATTAACTTTACTAAAAGGAGAATGCATCGGACACATAAAAAATTATGGTATAGAAGACATAAAACCTTAACATGACTTCCACTAATTTAGTAACCAAACTTGAATCCGCACACGTTTAAGGTGGACGTGATGTAGTTTATAAAATTCAGAAAAGTATCAGTTTAAACAAACTATGACCTTAGTCAATGATAGTTGCATTAAACCCTCACACTGATTAACTTGACAATAGGGATTCAAATCTGACCAAGACAAACCCGTCTTTATCTGTTGACATACATTTTCTCCACTCTCTGTCTTCATTTCTCAGGTGTCTCATGTTGGCAGATGTCTAGCAGCTGGCAGCCACTTGACACTGACTTATTGTAGGCTTAATAGCGTGGAACACCCATGAAGATCTTGAGACATGTTATATGCGTACTGTATTTATCTGGCTTAGTAGGAAATGCACTGATGCCTAAACAAAAAGTGTATGCAGAAGTTTTATTTTTGGTGTACACATATTGTTTGTTAAGAAAGATGTCACTTAGTGTATTTAGTTATAACGGTTGTTAATTTGGGATGAAGTATGTGTGAAACTTAATATCTAAAGGTATTCTAATAGTTAAACAAATCACATCATAATTTTAAATATTATGTAGATAAGTAACTGAATGATAACAGTGTCTAGCAATAAAGGTCATCGGTTGTTAAAATTACTTAAAATGTACTGTCGTACTGTGTTACTTTACTTAACAAAGCTCTTAATTGCTACACTACAACTCTGCAACTCTCCACACATAAACTTTGCATTGTTTGTCTACATCTGTCCATTAGCTCTCTCAACATCCTTTACTGCTCAACACAACCCGCAGTGCTCTTCCAATACTTTGCAATTTGCTGTAATATATTTATGTTTCACCATTCAACATTTTTTTTTCTACAAAAACATTCTTTACTTTACCACAGCTCTAAAGGATTCTTCTATATTGCCTTATCATATTTCTATTTTGCTCTCCAGCTTCATCACTTGTACAGGATCACTTGGCATTTTTATTAAGTTAATAAACATTGCTCTACTACAACTAACAGTACAAGATATATACTCGTAATTTTTCAACATCTATTACATTATTCTCTCAAGGCTGTACAATATTTTCTGCACTTCTCCAATAATCAAGTTAACTCTCCTTTTCGCTCTAGGATCAAATCGCTTATCACTCTCCTAACACTCCAAATATTAATGTGATATACTTTCCCTTGTCTTTCAATGAATCTTAATCTCTACTCCCTACGACAACTAAAACTTCGTGTTCTATTTCCAGTGTCAGGAGGAGCCAACGAGTCTCCTAGTCCAGGAGGATTCCGCAGGAAGGGGTCGACGCAGAGGAGAGTCAACTCCGTGTACCAGAGGAAGTCTACAGCCTTCTTGGACGTTCCTTCAGACAAACATCAGCAGGAACAGGAGGACGAGGACAGCTACAGGCTCAGGTCCTTTAGCTTTACTAGCAAAGGTAAGATTAAATTTGGGATCTGAAGTAATAGGGCCTGGTTATGATCGTCCAAATCACTAAAGGCGTTTTAGCACTATAATTATGCAATGGGCCGATTCACTAGAGACCATCATAAACTGTCAAGCTATCTAGAAAACCAAACCAAAACCAAAACCAAAACCAAAACCAAACAAAATTAGACCCTCTATTGCGGAAATCACACCGTAGCTTCTGGGAAAAAACACAATAATATAGCTGGACAAATAAATATGGGATGTTGTTTGGAATTATAGTTTTAGTTGAATCAGAAAACATGCATGTTTAATTTACTACTTAGTTATATATTATTATTTTTTTATATATTAAAATATAATAATAAGTAACGTTAAAAATAATCTATGGATATTCATTGGTAATATCCACAGTTCTAGTAAAAACTTAACCTAGATCAAAATAGATTATGTTTTATTGTTCTGAGTAGCAGGTTGAAGATATGGGTATTCAATTTTAACTCAAATAAGGCCAAATAAATATATTTTCTTTTATTTGGAACTTAAATATTGATTTTCTGTCTTAAATTAAACCCAACCAGATTCTCAAATGTCATTAGTTGTCATAGATAATGATACAATCCATAATCTTAAAATATTAATCTATTTCTTTATTATATAACTACAAAATAACTAAGAACAAAATCAGTTGTTTCGTACGTTTTGAACTGTGGCAAAGGTAAAGTGTTTACACATATTTTGCGACTAATTAGGCTAAATGGCAGTTAGACATCTTGTATGAGATGAAAGCTTTATAGGGAGTACAGAGAAAACGTCCAGGAAGGTGGGGAGGTAGAGAAGGGGAGCACAGGAGCATTATGTTCCCTAGGGATATCCATAACTATTCCACAGGATTGCTAACACTAAACCAGGACTATAATTGATTCAAATCAATCAGTATATACATTGCTCTGAAAAAAAAATAACAAGACATTAACTCCAAGACACAGGCGATCCATTCTCTTGTTCTATGAAAATAAAAAGAGTTTTCATGCCTTGCCTTCACATCCTAGAACGCTATGTTCTACTCCGGAACAATTATACCCATTACTTCAGAATATGCCTAAAAACTATAGTTCGTTTAACCGGTTGTATTTAACATTGCTGAGGTTTATTCACTAAATAAATTTCGCTGTTATATCTATCCGATTTCTCTATCCGATTTATCCATATACGAGTACATAATTGTGCAGTTAAAACTATTTATTAGCACGTCCAAAGATTTAAAGTTATTTGGAAAATTCGAGCAATAAAACATTTTTAATAAGTAATGGTTGTGGTTCTATGATAAATAGAATCATTTGCAACTGCAAACAAATTTCAAATGTAACAGGTAAAATATAATAACCAAACTACATTTACCAGTTGCCACCTATTAACGAATCATATGGGTCATTTGATGATTGATCCAATTCGGGCGTTTCGGAATGTTAACAGCATTGAAGTATCAATAAAGGGCCGTCCAGCGAATTCATTTGTTATTGGCTGCAATCGGTGTCCTGGAATCTGATTGCCAGTGGAAATAAAGTTAGCTTCAAACCGAATTTTCATGGGAACTTTATCTAAATGGGATTTGCGGATTAATCCTAATACGTTAGTATATTTTCTGCAAATCTCAAAGAAAATTAATAAAGCAAGCCATTGAAAATGTTCAAGATTTGATGTTATTTGAAGTTGAACCCTGTTGTTTAACATGTTTATAATGTTTATTTGTTCACTTTTACAACTGAACAGTTTATTTGAAAATGTATAAAGTTTATTGGGAAAATGTGCAACAACATCTAATAAGTAACTGCACTGATGTCAATATAGGTGTTTAAACAAAAGGCTTTTCTGTAGTTATAAGTAAAAATGTTTGCAGCAACATGTAATTTTTCTAAAAATTAAAATTTGCAATTTGCAGCAAGACTAATGAGACAATAGAAAAATGTAAACCAACTATTGAATAAAAAATATGGTTACCTTACCTTAACTTACCTAGCTGGCCACTCAAACCTAAGCAGGTTTTTGGCCTCTCCAACAGCTTTGCGCCATCTTTCTCGGTCCTTCATCATCTCCTCTGTAACGGACATCCTTCTCATATCCCTCCGGACTTGGTCCCGCCATCGCAGCCTTGGGCGTCCTAAAGGTCTTCTTCCTACAGGTACAGCATCCGTCACTGTTCTCAAGACTGACTCTTCAGGTCTCCTGTAGACATGTCCTGTACACCTTTGGAAGGTGTAGGATTCTACTGTCAATATGGTTACAAAATTAAAATATTTGAAATATGTGCTATATTTCCGTGAAAATGAGCTTTCTTGCTTATCAGGAAAATTTGTAATAGCCTATATGAATTTGCTACTAAAAATATCCTCTCAATGTTTATCCATAAAGTGATATTGGTGAAGATTTTTGTAATTCATTGAGATCTCTTTCAGATAGATTTTGTTTCAATGCAATTCTATCTTATTAATTGTAATGAATAATCACAAGTTCTAAAGGTTAGCTGCAAAAAATTGTAATGTATGTATAAAGTAAAAATACACTTTTGCAGCTTAATTGCTTTTAAAGTCTCGCACTAAGTCGAAGATCAAATCAAGTTGGAACAAAAAGGCAAGTCGAATGTCGCTGAAGAAACTTTCCAAAGTCTAACTTCCTTAACTGACTGTTAGACATGTTGATGGAAAGGGATGTGAGACGGGGTGAGAGGGGGGCGGTAGAGAAATAAAGGAGGAACTACAAGCTCATACATGTGTTCTAATTAATTATGCTCAAAAATTCCGAACGACTCTTGCTTTTGAGCAAAACCAATATTCATACATAAACTTATTTAAATCACAAGCGGTCAAGAAAATACATAACAAAACCAAATAGACATACACTTAATTAATGAACCCCGAGTAATATATACGAGCTAAAAGTCGTAATATAACACCAAAACCTTATAATTTTATAACTTCTGTTTCAGTAGTTAGTTATGGCTGATTTAAAATTTGCATTCGTTATGTTTATAAATGCATGTACAAGCTCGAAGATGGAATACATGCCAGTTCCATGTTCCACAATTTTGTCGCTAGATGTCTAAATGTATGTCAAAACACTGGAACCAATATTACAAATTGTAATTTTTTCTGAGAAAACTTCACACGTACATCATGTTCATATTATTACTTTTTACCAGGACGCATTGTAGAATGAAGTAAGATGCATTGAGTCTTGTTACTGACTAAAACAGTTGTTTCCCTGGCCAGACCCATCTACTATTGGCATAATAATCTCAGATTGCTGTCCCATTTTTGAAAAATTATAAAACTACTGGCTTTTCTCAGGATTGAAAAGGAAGAAAATTCTTCATTGTTGAAATAAAATAAGCAAAAAAGACATTTATTATAATTTTATACAATTTATGTTATGAAAACATGCAGAAAACATTAGTATTACCAATCATATAATAGTAATGTGTTTACGCTATCCAGGTTTTTTAAATCCATATCCAGTACAGAGCCAACAAATGTAAACTTCGATGATTGATAGAATTAGGATGGTGCAGTGTTTTCAGTATCAAATGACAATCACAGAAAAGGTAGAAATATTTATTCGTTGCAGCAGTTCCAGAGTGTCAATAAGACATGAGGTAGACAAAATTGAGTTTTTGTCGCAGTTTGCTGCATAGAACACCAATAAAACCTAAGGCAAACAATTGAATTGCTGCCTTTGTACCTCAATCAAATTTGAGGAAGACAGACAGAATTGAGTAGGGTAGCTGGTTTACTAGCTACTGCATAGTGTCAATAAAACATGAGGTACACTTCATTGTAGACTAAATGTATATCATAAAAAATATTCGTATTGTCAGTCTCGTGAATCCTAAAGGCAGTTTTAAGATAATTCTGTCTGGAAACGCTTGCTTTAATAATACATAAATTCTTCATTAACAGAATATTTTCTTATCTCCTTTCTTTAGGGCCAAACTTACAAATGGAACGATTTATCTGTAAATCCCTCCCTAAATGGGGATTATCATCTCCCTAAAGGATTGCCATAAGCGTGTGCACTGTTACTTGTGAACACACCTACGCCACCGAAATGAAACATTTTCTAAAAAAGCTACAGATTTTACAATTTTACAAAAGTCATCTTTTTGAGCGTAAAGTCATCTCCCACTTGTTTTTTTCCTAGCTATTCCATGGCATGTTGTATAATATGAGGTAGACCTTAAATGGATTTGACGCCCCAGGTTACTGAAAACAGCTTCAATAAAATATATTTTTATCGTTACTGGGCGTTAATTTGCAAAGATCTAACAAATCTAATTTAAAAAAATTAAAACACCAAAAGTCGTGTAAAAATAATCATCTTATTTTATACTGCATTGGCAACTTCGTAAAAATAATCAACATATGCAAAGTGCGCACGTGTTGAGGATGTAAATCTATTTGATCAGACACCTTCAAAGAGCATCATTTTATTACTTCAAAGCACAAAGCCAGAAAAAGAGTAGACCTTCAAACAGAATAGAATTATCAGTCACAATTTATATCGCCCAAAGTGATAAAGCTGTGTTTATTTGATGCTGCACTGCGTTTGTTTTAAATCTACCTCAAACCTGTAACTTTGAGCTTCCTAAATTTATTCAATAGTCAAGTTCAATTCTGATTCCAATCAAACTAATAATTTTTTTTGTAAAAATAGGCTAATTTTACACTGCGTGTCATTCTTACTTATTTAATTTTGATCAATCATTGGTTATTATTTTAAATAATAATGCACAATAGAGGAGCCATGCTGAGCAACATACTATAAAGAGAACATTGCTGATTCGTGACCAGCCACATCTCAGCATCTTTGGCTTGTCCATGGGACGTATACTGTAAAAGTACTTTGCTGTAACTTGTTAACTGCAAAGATAATTAGACTTATGCCGATCCAGGTTAGAATTGACCGCTGTCCATTTCAATCTTTACTGATTGTCGTAAGAGGTAACTAAAAGGGGCGAGAACATACTTTGTCGGTTTTCGTGACTCCTCTTCAAAATTCTACTTTCTATTTTTTCACAATAGTTTGGTCCATTTTTTACATCACACCGTTTAATTTCTCTGTGTGGCTTCGTGCTTTATGTGCTCCACTACATCACACGTCCGGTACGAGTTGAGGGTACAGTTGAAAAACTGGGGTTTGAAACCCCGCTGCCGGTTAGTAAGGAACAGCTGTTATATCAATTAGCAAAAATCCCCTTGGCCGTAACAGCTCAGGCTGGTGAGATGGTGAGATATAAGAGCACAAGCTCCTCTTGGACGCTGTATTCTGAGTTAGTCGATCTGGTTCTGTGTGAATTTTACATTGGGGCAGTATGGAGGAAAGTGCCTAGTTTTGGGGGCCAATTCAGACAATATCGTCTTACGAAACTGGCATTCCACTGACCAGAAGAGAGGAGGAACGGTTCCAGCAATGTTTGAAAACCTTTTAGTGAAGAAGATCGCGTTTATCAGGCAGAGATCAACTATTAACTTTGTTAAAGAGAACAAAAAAAAGGTTCAAATGTATTTATTACATTTTGCTAGATTCAAATCAGTTTTCTAACTGTAATTGTTCATCTAATTTAACACGAGTCAAACAAATGTTATTGTTTATATTTTACTAATACGCATGAAGTCCATATGCAGTGTAGTAAAACTATCTATATTTTTCAACATAATTTAGTTCAATGAACTGGGTTTTACGCTGACCTTTTCAAAGCGCCTCTCTACTCATCCATTTTAACAACGTTCATATCATCTGACAGACACTTTCAGTTGGAATTCATCGGAAACGTTTGGCTCGGTTAATATTTTACCTCTTTCAGAGTGTGCTTCAAATAGATAATTTGTATCTTAGGCTATAATGTTAGGCAATGAGACTCATATAATCAAAATCAAAAATTGCATTTTACCGATTTCGATTTGTTAGACATTGTTTGAACTAGTTCATTTAAACTTTTTGCATCTTTTGAAAGTTGCAAATCTTTCGAATAGCTTAAGTGATTTTAAGCCAACCGCTCTAAACCAACATATGCTGCTGTAAACGAAATAGTAAGACTCTGGATAGGTATAAAACAAGCCTAAACATACCTGGAAATGTGCTATACCTTTTAAAGTGAAACAATTAAAAGAAGATTTTTTATGTAACCATGCATCTATGTTAAGAACGGCAACTTTAATAATTATTGTTTGAGAGCAAAATGATAGAATTATACGTTTTCTATAATTATCGTCCCATGAATATGACACGACCATCTAAAACAAGGGAAAGCTGAGTTTTGTTTAAACTTTGAATCCAAAATACTTTTTTGTCCTGTGTACATTATGTTCAAAAATTGTATAAATATTTACAACAACACTTATAGCACTCATAAATACAAAGAGATAATATTTATGACTAAGACATAAAATATTGACACGAGAGCCAAACACTGCTTTTATAATGTTTTGGTTACACAAAACAAGACAATAGTAGTAAAAACGGTATTCAAAATCAGGCTAAACGTAATAATGATACTGCCTTTTGTCTTCGACAGTTTGTATTGATGGATCCTGCAAGGTCACTTTCTGTCCTAACGTCAAAACTAAAGTATTTTTATCAACCGTTAAGCTTGAGTGTGCTAATGTCACTTAGCTGGTTTACTAAGGCCAAAGGTCAAGCAGCATTTAACTAACCATTCTAATTAGTTTTATTAATTTTAAAACTAGTAAGAACTAAACTGTGAACATCAGAATGTATGCCAGGCTTAAACATGCCAAAGAATCGTCTTTGACTGAACAGTTTATAAGGGATTACTTTTAATTCTTGATACGTAGTAATAATCATAACTTACTAGATTTTTAAATATGTAATCTCCACACTTTTGTGAATATTACTCAATCAAAATCAAGAGTAATGTTCAAATTGTAAATTTGGCTGAATAATAGAATTTCTGTGATTGTCTTATTTACTTACTTTTCACTACTATTTACTTAATCACTATAGGGATATTTTACAATACAGTTACTATGTAAAATACCTTTGGGTTCAACTAATTTACCTACTTTCGATCACTCATTGTGGAATAGTTTCCATCGAAGTTGTGGTTTATAAACCAAATTTAATCAATCAAACTACCAGTCAGTGAAGTTGTGTTTGACGTTCTGCTGGCTTTGTCACGGTATTAGTATAACAGCGCAAAACAAATCATTTCACAGGAAATAATAAGTCTTTATTTATCTTATATTGTATTTATATTGTTAAAGAATGTACAATGTTCTACGAGGTTTTAATCTTGAATTAGTTCTAATATATCCATTAATACCTTGAATTTGTAATATCTCGTATTATATTACATCACAATTACACAGACTATAAATACTGTACACTGTACTGTACTGGAAATGTAATCTGAATTTCAAATATTCTTAGGTTCTCAAGTGTTTGGCTCATCTCACTAAGATCAAAGTTTTAAAATCTATTTACTGGACTAGACGTTAATATTTGTTGAGTTTTGTCAATGATACTTACCTTTCTCAATTAATTTGGGTTTCGTGAAGTAGAAAATCTAGTTTAATGTTTCTCTCAGCCTTCTTTTACTCCATCATCTAAAAAAAAGTCTTTTGAATTCACTGACGTTGTAGGGATAAATCTATGCTTTACGATCTTGTTATTATATAGTATAAAATAAGAAGAAAATAGAAAAGATGCGAAAAACTAATAATATAAGGTGTAACATTGACAGTGGATGAATGCTATGAACAACACACCAATGACACAATTAACACGATTCATTTTTAGGTGAATAAAGATGATAAAACTTTAAGAAGGTATATTTAATTTATGACTCGATCTATGTTTTACTTGGTCGCATCCAGCAATGTTAGTTCAAATACTTACATTACTTTTCCCCACAGGTGTTGTAAACAGAGGAGACTCGTTCAGGAGACGTCGTTCTCGCAGCAACAGTCTACTTCCTTCCAGCCCCAACCCCGAGCAACCTCCGAGCTCCCTCTCCCCCGCACCCTCTCCTGAGGTCATCACCTACCGGCTGGCCATGCTGGGGGCTCCGGGAGTCGGCAAGACTGCGCTGGTCAGCCAGTTCATGACGTCGGAGTGTATCAACGCCTATGATAGGACGAGAGGTTATATATACATTGATACTCACGTGCTAAAATTAAGTTGGAAACAAGTGGACACTCCATCTTTATCGGTCAGCTGCAGTCATTTTTCATTGAAGAAGAACATAAACCAATCCCGGATTGTGTTACAGTTTAAAATTCGATTGTTTCTTTAATTTTTAGTACCATGATGTTTCATGCATCATGAAAGATACAAAAGTTAACGATAAGTTTTTCTTGCTTTATTTGTTTTAAAAGTTGTCGTATTCCACATAAATGATTAATTACGTTCAACACACAATGTCGGTTTGTATTCGCCTGCGTTAATGTTATTATAAACTAGCTACGACTTTAACATGAGATTGGAATGTATAATTCTATTGATTATTTAACGTTTTACTTAATTAACATTTTAAAACATTTTAGGAATAGTATTTACAGCTAGACATGAATCTTCAAACATAAACAATTATTTTTGGATTCCCTTCAATGCTGTAATTGTTATACAGGGTGTCTTGCAACCATATGAACAAACCTTGTCACGTTATTCCTCATGTCAAAAAAAGCTTGGATTAAAATTGGATTACCGTCTTCAGGGAGATTAAAAATAATAGCTTTTTAGGCCTAATATCGTGCGATTAACTGCTCGAGCAGAAAGCATTTTCTTTACTACTTTAGAGAAACTCTGGCCTTTGCTGTGAACTGTGCAAAACACAAAGAAATATATCTATTGCCTAAGAACTATCCACACAGATTTATATGAATATATTATTATTTATTTCGCCAATATATATGAATATTTGAGTAAAATGAATGTGGAGAGGAGTGATATGACGTCTGTATCGTTGTAATTGTATAAATGAATCAATTAGTTTCAATATAATCTATGTTATTTGTTTTAACTGATTGAAATAAAAGTATCAGTCAGACTGTCAGGAATGTTTAAAACATTTTGAATTACTAAACTAGGTGAAAGGATGCTTAAGTTTTGATCCCTGAGCTAAGCTCAGCCACTTGAATCACTGGATACTTTAGTGTCTAAAACCTCACAGTTAGACACTCACGGCTGGGCCAAAAGATAAATCCATGATTAATCGTACAGCGACCTGCCTGACGTTGACCGGGTTTTCAACTTCCTTCATCTATTATTGACGTATTTTTCTTGGAGAAACTAATCATACTTGGCAGTTTCTGCCACAGCTTCCTTGTATCACATCTTTCAACACATTTTTCCCAATATATGATGCATGTTCGTATTTTAAAGACTGTAATGTGTTTCCAGATGACTCTGCAGCAGACGGTACGCAAGAAGAGTCTGTATGTATAATGCTGAACGGAGAGGAGTCCGAACTGAAGTTTATCAATGTTGGAAATGAAAAGGTAACTAAACTACTTGCAAACCTAACCTGTTGCTCTGAATCAAACATAGTTCTGGACCAAGTCTTAGTGTTCAATTCGGAATCGCACAAAGTCATTCAAATCAGACCATTTCCTCAAAATAAACATTAAGTCCATGCATCTTGTTTATTGTATTTAAACAAATAACTACATCAAAATTAACTTTAGAATAATTAAATCGATTAAAACATTGTTTCTCTCGACACCAACTTTGTTTGACCTTACGCAGTTGCATTATCCCATTAAGCTCCATATAACGCGCTACAATTTTTAATATCTACTTTAGATGTTTTAGAGGATCCAGTAACAAAATACCCTTATACCATAGCATATGAAAAAAGTCAATATTAATAGTCACTGATAAATTTATTTCAAGATATAGGCTGCATTTTTGTGAATGAGTAATCAGGTTTTGTATAGCTTAATCGTTTATTTTTAATCGATGTTATGGATAATCCAATCAGTTTAAAATTATAAATTATTTGTACGAATCATTGTGCCCGAAGCCTGAAAAACACATATCTTGTATTACTTTGTAAGACACTAACAGTCACTCACCTAAATCAGTTTCTGAAACATCGTGAGAGGCTATTCAAAATTGTTTACAACCCCTGAAAATACACCTGGAAGTTCTGCGTCAAGGTCTTCTATTAAAAGCGGCGTCAGTTTCATTTACGGTCTAAACTGTGATATCCAAGACGATTTAACCAGCTAAGTGTTGAAGTCCTGTAATCTGTGTTTCCTGTTTTCAAAAGACATTGAATTTTACTTATTAGGGTGGTGAACTGTAAGGCTAAGTTAAATATGTATAAGTTCTCCTAAACTTGTTATCTTCAGGAAATACATGATTATACAATCGCAATTTTTTCCTGAAAATAAAAGAAAAATTGATTGGTGCTTGGTAAAAAGAATTTAATTTGGAATAAATTGTATTTTTACTATTCAAAGCAGTTCCAAACCTAAATTAAGTCCGTGTACCTTTTTTTATATTTAAAACCCCACTTTTAGGGTTTATAAACACGAAAGTTAAAATGGCATTGCTAATTTTTTATAAATAAAATCTATCCCTCTACATAATAAACTGTATACTACACTTTCACATACATTTTGAACTCACTGGCTAAAAGTAGAAATATAGAACCAGCGAGCCATGTATTTATCCAAGCTACTGATCTGAACTATTGCTTCTTTAGTCTCAACAATACATAAAAAATACTGCAATAATTGTTTATTCGCCCTAAACGCTGACAGGGTCAATTTCGTTGAAATAATAATGTTACGGTTTATTTTAATAAATATATTTAAATAAACAGTATTGTTAAACTTTCTGATTAGATTATATTTTTTTGAAAATTTATCCAGTTTATTAAAAATTTGATATTTCTATTTGAAATTAAATTAAGTGACCAGTCTGTCACAATTGAATTCCCGTTTGGGTTTTCAGAATATGTAGTTTCCTGATTCCTTTATTTTGAGTTCTAGTGATTATGTTTGTATCAAAATGTTTTAGCAAAACTTGTTTAGTGACCCACATGTGGTATACATATCAATTCTAGGTCCTGTTGTATCTGTTTCTGAGAGGCACTTGAAACCAATTTGCCTTGACTTTGTTCATGAAAACGAAACAATTACAAATCACTCCAGTACTATGAGACAGTGACATTTTTCCCCCAAGCATCAAATTAGGATGGATTAAATATCGTTAAACTTAATCTTTTCTATTGATGACTCGTACATAATCGCAACAAATATTTATCAACATAATCATAATGTTCTATAAACAAGGCATATTTCCTTTATCAAGCAAATTCGAAAAAGTTAGTTAAAGCCACGTTTCTCCCTTGTGAGGTAAGTAAGACAGTGTAGTGCCGTTTCATATGGTAAATGCTAACCTGCAGTCTAAGTGAATTTATATTGGCCTTATTAAGCTGTTAGCCTACATAGCTTATCTCTACGTCCAATTACTACTGGCGTTATGGGTAGTAGCATAGATAGAACTAGTAGGTTCTCTGCTACTAAGGAAGAAGCACAACGGCTTTTGTTTTGATTAAATTTAAAAGCTTACATCGGTTTGACAAACAAATAGTTTCCTTGAAATAGCCCCCTTCCTTTAATAGTGCTATGTAAATTATCAGAAGAAATCATTCTTCTTGGGGGTCCTCCTGATAATGATATGAAACAGAATATTTTATATCGTGTATTTTCATATAAAACCACATTAATCAATGATACCTTCATTTTCATATCTAAATCTAGTTTCGAAATTTTACAATTTAAAATTCCTCAACTCAATAAAATGCCGCCAGTTTATTGATCTTAAATTTCTCCTCTGTTAAAAATTTCGGTGGTGCAAAATACAAGTCAGTTACGATGTTATGTTACTAAAATGCTAGTGACTAACCTTAATTGTGAGGTCAAATACTTGAAACGTAAGAACATCTTTTTAGCATAAATTAAATGAATATCGTCTTATGAAAGCTGTATAGTGAATAAAATATTATTTAATTATTATTCAACCAGGTATATTAACCCCCTAGGTACCACAGAAAGTCGTCTTGTGTAAACATCAAAACTTACTTATAAGTCTTTTATTGTATTTTATGACAGCATTACTGTGGCATTTTCCTAACCGTTATATTACATTTGTCTCTAGGGGGAAGTGGATCGTAGTTCTCCGCCGGCAGACGCCTACATAGTGATGTACTCAGTGATAGATAAGGCTAGTTTCCAACGAGCAGAGGACGAGCTCGGCCGACTGCAGGACTACGACCTGCTCAGGGCCAGACCCGCCATCCTGGTGGCCAACAAAGTAGATCTGGTCAGGAGCAGGGCTGTAAACGCTCAAGGTAAATACTTTGGATATTCTGTGTACTCACTTGAATCTGGGTCGTGATATAAAGCTAATCTAAATAATTGTATTTTATTTAGTTAATATTTACAAATAGATAGTATATATTTTGATTCAATCAAAATATTCAAAATTTTTAAAAAAATCTGAAAAATACATTTTGAATATTTATTTCATTGTTTCAAAATAGCAGCTAACTTTAGTACTGGAACACTCAGTATTTAATGGTCTTTTTAGAACGTAGATGCAATTTTAAGACTTGTTAATTCTTTTAATTTTTTCTCGAAACATGCTCGTTTATGAGCTACAGGATACAAAACTTACACCACAAGCCCTTTTTTTCTTAGATGTAACACGCTGTAACTCCTAAATGTGTAGCGATAGAAACAAAGAATATCAAGAATAAAAACTTTTTTAAATCTCATTGACATTAGAACACAGTCATAAAATACAGAACGTTATATAACAAATAACAAAGTACAAAGTAGTCGGCCATATTGGAAAATGGTGAACATAATTCTAAAATTCGAAACCATAAAAAAACATCTTAAAAATATAGGGCAGTGCCCCATATCTAGTCTATTAACTCTATTAACTCTTTTAACTCTATTTATCTTAATAAAAAGTTTGATTGGTTCACTTTAGGTGAGACACTCTGTGTAGTAAAATTAACTACAAAATAATAAACATCAGGTTTCAAGGTAATGGGAAAATTAATCATCAGTAGGCTTGTCCCGACACCTGCCAAAGGCTGACAATATCCATGCCAACTGAATCAAACTTTATAGCATGGTATTTTGAATGTAAATTAGTTGTATTATGCAAAAACCACATTAACTCAGTTTAATCATTTTTACATAACAGAATTGCATAATAGACGAGAACCTTCAGTTGTAGTTATTGGAGTTCTATATTTATAATACTATTCCTCGTCAATAATTGAAACGTTTTATTATGACATAAAACCCCTTTAAATTGTGTTGTTTTATCTTAAAATATAACATTTTGTGTAAGGCACTGCTAATTTAGCTATGTTAGTAACTTGTGTGATCAAGTTTTCACTAAGTTAAAATTTTACAAATTATATAACTAGTTTACCAACTAAACTTTAGCATTGTAGATTCATAAAGATTGAGTGAGCAAGTTTGAGTGATTGTGTTGCAAATCGTTAATCATTGGCAGAGGTATGTTCATTGCTTTCAACAGAGCTATTGTACACCATTATATACCACCAGAGCAAGAGACACCAAGCATTCCGATGTTACGTTCAACTGAAGCATCGAAACTAACTTATGTATCACTAACAGTATTATATCAATGACACTCAGAAAATGAACATCTATTATCTCTACTTATAGATTAGAATTTTATTATATTCTATGTTTGATGTATTGAAAATAATTATTGTAATATCTGAATAAGGTATCCAATCCTTGTCATTTATTACATAACATATTAATATAAAGTAGTTGAGCTCAAATATTTACTCGACTGATATACCTGTAGTTTGAAATGAATTAATGCCGTTCGTAATACAATATATTCTCAGTCAAAACAATTATAATTATTGATTTACATATATAACTTTAAAGCTTTTTCACTGTGATGTCATACCAAATAAAACAGCAGACCTGAGCTCGGACGTGTTGTATAAAATTATATCGCAAATCGTTACTTTTTATCAACTCAATGATTATTCCATAAAAGAATAATTCAAAGCAGATTTGGACCTTTTCTGTCAACTCAATACCACTGTATAATTTAAATGTAACAATACACAACCTAAGTTTTAGATTATGCCTCGGTCTCAATCTAACCCAATCGAAATTAGTTTTGCCCTAAACAGGATTCTAGGTATTTTATTTCAACCTGGTCTTTAAAGGAAAAGATCAGTATATGTTTGTCCTTACGTTCGATTATTCCAAACGTTATTGGTAAAAAAAACTTGTAAGCTATACCACACGAAAAACCATTTATCAAATCGATATATATTTTTGGAGTATAATTTCGGAAAACATTCTTAACTTACCTTGGAATACATTCTGTATTCACCATCTTTATTGTGTTTACCTTTTTATCTCTTAAATTAATTTATGGTTTTCAGACGGCAAATGCCTTGCGTGCACCTACCGAGCCAAGTTCATCGAGATCTCCGTAGGCATCAACCACAACGTAGACGAACTCCTCGTGGGAATCCTCAACCAGATCCGGATGAAGAGGGCGAACGCCGACAAGGAGTCGGGGAGTCATTGGTACAAGAGCCGGGGAGTTGTCAGAGCCAGCATGAAGGCTAGGCAAATGTTCACCTGGATCTTCGGTAAAGAAGACTCCAAGTTTAAAAACTGTGAAAACCTCCACGTCCTGTGAACTGGTTACACATATTGCCATCGGTGCAAGTTTTCAACAAAAAATTGTGCTAAATTTCAAAAGGGTTATTTGTTTTCTATCACGATTGTTGCAAAATGTCTTTTGCAAAATTTTTAAATCTAGAATCAGATCTTAAAAAGTTATGATGACTTTTGTTTTGCTGATCGTGATTTAAAATGCCCATAATAATAATAATGCCATAAGAAGTCATTTGTACTAGTTTGTTTCGCTCTAAGTTAGTTTACTTTAATGGTTAAGCCGTGCAAGAATAATAGAAATTCTAAAATATCTAAGCACCTAGATAAATTGCCAATGCTAAAGTTTCTGATAATTATCACTTGAATGAAAAAGTATATAATTTTAAAACTCTCTTAAAATACGTAAAAATAACTCTAGTAATAAATATATTTACACATATACTGTTTACTCACAAGACGGTAAATACATATGAAAGATGGTGAGTGGTGATCGATTTCGATTGGACACTCTAACCATCATTACACCCAATATGTGTCGAAATATATTTATTACAAGTTTTATATGACATATTTTTGTACTTTCAGGTAATTTTATAACCCGTACGATGCTGATCAAGAAGTTATTTAGGAATCGTAGCAATCTCAAAAAAACACTCACTCTTTGTTTTTGAGGTACGGTTTCTCAAAAATTAAATTGTGTCTCAGGAATTGACCAAACTACTTGTTTTTGTTACATTTCATACAACGTATTTTTTACAATTTTTTTTCTCAAGCAGTGACGAAGAGAAATGTAATGTTTTTTTTAGAAAATTACATCTCTAACCGATCTGTAATATGTAAACAATCGCTAACTAAATGTACATTATATTACTTTTGTTGACCAGGGACAACGGACGAATCATAGTAGTGTATATGCGATTCAATGACACACAAGCACTTCTTGATAAAATAACCTTGTACTATTATGAACACGCCAACAATATTAAATAGTATGAATTGACTAAAGCTTTTTTTAAATACATAAATATGAAGCGACCTCATTGATTATTATTGACACCGGTGGCAATCTTAGTAGAGTATGATATTTCATATAAAGTAAGGTTATTATTGTATCTGACCTAGGTGTTAATTTTATATCGTTTGTAACTGCTTGGGGTCTTGATTAAGAATTACCTATTTCATTTTTATAGCTTTCTTACACTTTTCCTACACATAAAGGTTACAGCACCCAAATCATGTAATTTTGTAAAAATATGTAAAACTCTTAAAAGTGTTTAACGTTTAAAATGGGAAAAACGGGTTGTATTGAATGTCGATCCATGTATATAGCTTACTACTCAGGTTCCATAAATCAATATCCTTTCCAATAATCCTACTTTAATTCAGAACATTTGTTAATGTTTATATGTACAAATGTTAAAATCAAGACCCTAGATAATCTTAGATAAGGAACGTGTTTACCGTTTATTTGCTATCGAATGAGCTAAACTGACTGCCTAAAATATATTTTGAGCAATAATACTTTTAACCCTTCGTTAGAGGAGTCGCAATAAAAAGATGCAAACCCTACTACCAACAGGGTCAATTAGTATTACTCGAGAAAATACAAAATGTGAAGCTATACTTACGATTATTATCTTGAAGTCTGCATGATATAGATAGCTTATTTCAAGAAACATTTTAGTAAAATTCCACAAGGACTCGTTACGGGATGGATTGAGACTCTTTTAATGTAACGTTGTCTACATTTTGTTGATTATGCACACGTTTATTGAGGTGGATTTTTTATAAACCAAACAGTTTAAATTGACGTTTAAAATTTTGGATTTAGAATTTTAATACATGTACAATTGTACATGTTTAAATAAAAGCTTTAAAGGTTTTTTTTTGTGTTGCTGGATTTTTTAAATTGACTCTAAACATATTGCCTGCAATTAAATACTATTTTATTATTTTTTGTGTGCTCTAAATTGAATAACTGCGATAAAAATCTATACAGTTAGTATAAAGCAGAAAAAGTTATTTTATAATATATCTCATATTAAAACTAAATAAATTGACATGTCATTCTGTGCCTTAAGAACGAAAAAGATATATGAAATACACGAAAAAAATATATATCGTTTATAACTTAAATTGATGTAATTGTGTTGTTACATATACCACAATAAATGTTATGTGTACAGTATACATACAACTATGTATAGATATGCAATCTGTATATTTCGTCAGTAGAATAGGAATCATATAATTGTTTACGATTTTATTGTAAATGTAGTAAATTTGTATCAACTTGTATTTTTTCATTAAATTATTTGTCGATAAATTTCTTATTTTTGTAACGTTCTCACATACTAACGTGTCCTTACTCTCCAAAACTATTTTATATTAATTTTTCAATACTATAGTTTATATTATACCAGCGTTTTCTTAAAAACTTGCTGTTTAACCTAAATACGTTTCGATATTTTTAAACATATTATTCCCTTAAAAATATGAATCTGCACATTGGATTAAAACTATGTGCGTATTAGTTGCATCTACTTTATAAAAATCCTTGGAGATTAAAATCACCGATTATTATACTTCCAGGGCGGTTTTCAACTTTACCATTATTAGATATTATATACATAGAAGCATATATGAGCTAGTTTTGCTAAGGTAAGGACAATCCTAATGTTGCTTCCATTTCACCAGATAAACAACTTAACATTCAGAAATTTTCTCCAATATTACTAGTGACTTTGGGACCATAGAATAGAACCGAATTGTGATTTTGTGCAAGGAATTGAAATGTTACTATTCCTAGAGATAACTTTTATTTAATTACTTTTTTAACCATCCATCATCAGATACTGATATTTTATTATTGTTACTGATGTGTCACTGATAAAGGTTTGTTTAATGATCATTGAAACGTGGATATTTAGATTTTATAAATGTATCGTACGGTGTTTATATATTTTTGAACTACTCTATAAACGTGTGTGCTAAATCTATGCTAATCCCGTGTACATAAAAGTGATATGACAATATAAGTGTAGCTATTATCTGTAAGTATGTGTAAAGTCCCTACAAAAGTGCGATGAAAGTGGAAGATGTATTGAGTGGGAACAATTTTTTACTATTATTTTTATATTGTTTACCACAGTTCAGCTTTCTTAAATTATATGTAACCTATATTTGATGTTTTAGATATAACAATTGATTTTAAAACGGTTCACACGTAATGCAATAGTTTTAAGCATAACTTATGAAGATGAGTTTTAAATCAGTAATGTTAGTTTTTAGTATATCATAGTATGATATCAGCAGAGTCGTCAAGCTGTTTTTTATTGGTAAAACTAAAATAAAATTATCAAGACTAATAACTACCAACTCAAAATGCATCTTCTACCTTGTTCATATGTAAACTAATGTCTTCTACTTACTGACCAATGATTGTGCTGACCTTAAGTAACTGTTTGTTTGAAAGTTGTCTTCATGTCCTTTATGAACATGTTTTTATCTTTTACATATGTCAATAAATATTTTGAACATCAACCATGCTATTTTACAACATCTACTTGAACCTGATATTATGTGTGCATAGTATTAAATCGCTTAAAACCATCCATAGCACAATTAGAAAGTTGTTGGTACAAATTTGCGGATTACGTGTGCATGGAAATGACCTAACCACAAAAAATGGAATGAGTACCAACTATTCAGACTGTCAATACAAGCAGTAATTTACAAGAACGGCTTCTCTTAGGTAAAGTCTTGGAGACAATAGATCAATTGATTCATTAGCTCAGATAAAGGGTTGGTAACTAATTAAGGTCAATTCGCCTAATTATTGCATATACTATATCATTTAGCTTTTATTTTCGAAATACGTTTGCTCTTAATTTTACAGCAGTTTACCCATTTTATATGCGATGATACGACTAATCAGAAAATGAGTAAGCAACCCTGAATCCGAGACTTGATTTTTTTCCGTTTCAAGATTTCAAGAGTCAAACTTGTTCGTTGAAATTTTATAACTGCTTTGATGAAAGACGACATGAGATTTGTTTTCTACCATATAACTTAATCGTAATGTCTCACCCACATTACCTGATTCAAAATGTCACTTTTTCATTTGACAATAATTTATAAAAAATTTTAAAGGTAGTTAAAACATACACCCACAATATGGGGAACTACTTTAAGGCGCTCGAGGCAAAGTGATAGCAGCAACTATATTGCATCATTTACAGCATGCAGGAGCGGCATCGCCAGGCTAGCGTTGGCCGCTGCGTTTGATTATTAATGTAAACGGGTTTTAGGACCTATTAAAGCGAGCGTTCATTAAATTCTTAGGGAGTTTAATTATACCTTTTATCACTTGTTGCAGTATTTCATATTTTATTGTGGCGTTTAAATGGGCTAATTAAATTAAAGTTTCATTATTTTTAGTTCGAGCGGTATTTAGTCCTCTAAATAATACCCATGTTAACTAAATGAATCTGGCCCTAAGAAAATATTTTCATTCGTCTAACTTGAATATAGCTGTACGATACAGCAATCTCAAAGCTCAAATTTATTTTAAACACTTTTTACATAGTTTTGTGATCATGTATGTAGTCATAATTTACTATAAAATATATACCAAATGTTTATACAGTTTCCTGTGTGATAAATTAACAAAAGCAAATCAATTGTAAAATAAAAGCTGTTTACAAATTTGCACCTATTTCAGCTTACAAACGAACCTAGTACATTACATGAAGTGTGTAACAGTTTTATTTTATTAATTAAGCATGGGGAAAATTTGTTCGTTAAGTGTTATGAATATTTAGGCCCATTAACATACCACCACGTGGTGTGTGGTCAGCGAGGTGATGTTACAGCATAAGTCAATGGACAAGCTAGTGTTGACTGAGGTTATAAAATATTGCAATTGGCCAGTGGTATCTGGCCTGACTGGCCAATACGATAACCGAGTCAGCTACAATTTGACAATTTAAATATTTTTTATCAACTATGAAAATTAATTTTTAATGATGGTGTAACATAGGTATGTAAAGTGGTAAGTAATTTTTTTTCCATTAGTTTGTCAATAAGTTTTAAAGTACATTAATAACTATATAGCTGTTTTTTTTAGACACCTACCTGTTTTTTTTTTTTTTATCTTTCCTACAGAGTTGTTGATGTAAACGTTTTTATCCAATATCAGTTTTGAACCAGGTAATTTATCTTAATCGTAATAATATAAAACAGGCTGAACTCCTACAATAGGATACTGAAAATAAAAATATGAAGGTAGAATGATTGAGACCACTTATGTACCCTATGTTACTATCGCGTTTCATTTCTTGGTTTTACGTTACTTTAACATAATTCAGTGTACAACATTTATGTTATCATTATTACGCATTTGAGTTGCTTTTATTATTAAAAAATCTATACATTTTACTGTTAATTTATTTCAGTTTTTATCACAATATTTTTTGTATGGTTTGTACACCATTACAATTATTTCTTTATATTTTATACGTTCCCAACCCCTCAAATATATTCCGCCGCGGTAAGTGGGACATAATATTTTATGATGCTGTTGAGGAAGGCTTGCATATTGCGATATAAACATTGTTTATGATCCTCCGTTGATTCTTTGTGTTCAGAATTTATACTCCACTAAAATTATTTATTCATTGTTCAATTTATGAATATACATTGAAAATAGGGTAAAATATCCATCAACATTCACTGATGAAATTGTCATAACGATTTACCTACTACTTTTATATTATAGTTAAAGAAACTCCTACATGTTATAGCATAGTCTATGGACTACTATTTTATTTATTTACACGGGAGTGTTTATATAATATAGATGATATATAAAAATAGTACCTAGCGTGATATTTGTTTACTTTTGTTAATAAATTAAAACACCTTAAAATATAATCGTACTAGGTGAAACCCGTCGAAATCGACGGTTACTTTCAAGGCTTAATGCTAATTCATATAACTGCGATAAATTGAGTGAAATTATACATATTTTGAGCATTTGGCATTGTTTAAAGATTAATAAGTGTAAAAACAATAATGATATTTATGGTGTTAGTTACCAAATATGGTTGATCATTCAATGAATAAAACATTTCCCATTCCGTTTGTCATCGAAGTTATTATTAGTATGTTAACTGGTATCTCTTCCTTTGGAAGAACCTTTATATAGCCTAGTATTAAAATCGTGTTGGTGGATCTTTTGAAGTTAAACACTTCCGTGATTTTATCAGTGTAATGCAGGTTAATCTATGATTTTATTTAAAAATCTGTTTGTTGGGAAGACACGTTCTAACTTCAAAGGGAGGTATATCCGTTACAGTGTAAGTTAGATTTTTCCTTTGTCACGTCGTGTCACTTCATATCGTACTTCTGTGCCAATGAATAACACTCTAGCACAGTTTAAAGAAATTGGTTGTGGGGTTACTGTTAAAGCTGGAATTCCTTGACATGGGGGATGTCAGTTAATTGTCTCAGCCTTATCAGTTACATAAAGTTGTCAATATAATCTCTCTACGGAATGTTAGGTGTAGCGGAATATACATGAAGTGAAGTTGGCTTTTATTCTTGAACTGTTAGGAGTCTCCTCATTTATATGGTCGTGCAGCTTCATTGGCAACAAATAATGCGAATGACATAGTAATGTGGCATTTCCTATAAGCAAAAAATAATGTAAATTAGTTGTTACGTAAATATTGACGTTTACATGCATTGTTAATCAACGTGTATTATAAAGGATGATGTGATCTAGTTTAAAAGGAATATGACCTGTCTGTCATGACAGTAGCTGCTTAGATAGTATTTACTCATTAGGCCATTTTTACAGCCAAAATGTCTTGTTATTTTTAATAATGTTACCAACCCAGTGGGCCACGGTCCGTAATATATAGGCCACTGCAAATAATTTTTCAAGATAGGTACCATTTTAGGCAAGGTTTCTGTGTTTGGATGTTATTAGAAACGGTAAGAGCACAATAAAATTCTTCTGAAGATGAATTTTCCGTTTGGAGAAATATAAGCCGAATTAAAAATGCTTCAATGCGAGTTTGAGCATTTTGTAACTATATTATATGGTTAAGTTACATAGATTTTTTGGCTGCTGCTCAGTGCACTTTAAGAATATATATTTTAGAGATAAATTAAATGGGTTTTGTTGCTGAGTAGGGCTAGTAAACATGAACAACCCTTTACGTTAGTCTAATAACATTCAAAGGCTCTCTAAAAGTTCAAGTTCTTATTTGTATACATATCCATATTATGTTTTCACTAAGCTGAATGACTACATCGAAGTAACCCCTCTGAAAAGTCTGCATCATATTGCAGTTTTCCAGCTTAATGACTTTCTATCATGCACACATTTCTACATAAATATTGTAAAATGTTTTATCCAGTTGCTGTAAACCACTATTGATTTAACAAAATATGGACACGGCTCAAATGGGCACCGTACCCTTCTGCACTTGTATTATTTTGTATTGTATTACACAATCGAAGATTTTTCCAATAATAGAAAGCATGACAATAATCTCATGAACCTATGATGACCTGTCTAGAATAATATGATAAAATATAGGGAAAAGGTGTGAAAAAAGCTATCACCAACCCGTAAAATAGATATAAGATAGTTCTATAAGAAATAATTGTAAGAGTCAGGGTGATAAAAGGATTTTCCACTGATTTTGTAATGGAACTTTATATTGCAGCAAATGAAATTATACAGAAGAAAATCAATTTTTAAAATCAGAAAATAATATTGCAAATACTTCTTCTGGACAATTCAGTAACTCCCAATAAATGTGTGTTGTTTGAAGTACAATTTAAAAATTAACAGCTGTTTTATTAAAAAGTATTATCCACATGGCCAAAATGTAAATAAATCTGTGAATGGATCTTTAAAGGCTTCTGGGACAGAGCCCTAAGCGAATTTACTTCGTTTTTCTTTTGATAACTCATCTACGGACCAAAACCTTTCTTTGGACACCTCTACCAAGTGTCTACGCACATCTGTTCTCTCAATTTAGTGGAGACAAAGTTGCCAATCAAATATTAAGATTCCCCCATGTTAATCTTATGGGAGAAAACCCAACTTTGATGGAAGATCCTGCCCAAACTATTAAAGATATCAAAAAACTAAAAACACTTTGCAAAACTAAAGATCAGGGCAATTTCTTTGACACTTTAATCATCAAAATCAGTCCAAAAATGAGGGAGGAGTTCTGTTCACAAAAATCGGCTTAGCGTATTATACATATAGATTTTTTATGATAATCACCAATTTACAATGTTATAGATACGATTACGCAAGGATCAATAAGTTTCTTCGCATTAAGTTTGTTTTTGAATCTCTTATGAATCCCTGTAGATTAAGCCTTTGCAATAAAACAGTTATAAAATAAATAGCTATTTCGTCATACTTCAGCATCACAAAAAACAGCCGATTTTGATACAAGCGTTACGAGTCTAAAATAACTCTTTTACGAGTAAGAGGCATTTTTAGATCCCATGGA